GGATTTTCTTCTGCTTTTATTTCACTCCACAAAGTCTGAAACGTTAAAAGTCCATTTTTAAAAAGGGAAACATCTATGAGATTCAGTTTATGCAACAACCACAGGGTTTCACACGAAATAACTTTAAAAACTTGTTTCTTTTCCTAAATGAGTGAACCAACCATCAAACTTTGACATTTTCATCTCCAATAAACTCAAACTAAGATCTAAATGGCCATATTTTGTCACTTATGTCAACCATAATCAGATGTGTTTGGAGTGGCCAAAATGGAATAAAAGAATAAAAAAATATTTATTACTGAAGTTCACAGAAAAAATGAAGAATCTAAACAATGACACAAGAAGAAACTAGTTACATTTAATTAATTATAATTAGTTGAGTAACCTTTTTGAAAAAATCCAGTTTTAGGAGTATTTTTACTTGAATACTTTTATTATGAAGTATTTCTTCTCTTGAGTAAAATTTCTGGATTTTCTTCTCATTGAACAAACAAACATGTTTTAACCAAAAACTCACCAGAGACACACCTGCAGTTTTTGTTAAAGTTTCAAACATTTTTTTTATTGAAAGAAACTCATTTGAATTTTTCTCTTGATTTTGTTATTTTTTGTTACTTACATGAATTATTGTCATTTTTGCCATTAAAATGCCAACATTTCCAAAATGACTTTACATTTTGGTCCGTCTGATCATATCATTTTTAAATATTACATGATTGATAATTTACCCAGTGCTTCAGCAGACTTTTTAACAAATACTTTTTCAGTTTCTTGGTCAGATACTTTTTACTTTTACTTGAGTAAAACCTGTTGAAGTACTTCTACTTTTACTAGATTAAAACTTTTGAATACTGAGTAAAGAAAAGTATTTGGGAAAACTAGTATTCAAGTATTATGTAACTGTTTCATCGTCACGTCTGAGCGGATTTATAAAATTATGCAACTATAGTTTAATAATTATGATGACTCATCTTCATTTCTACTTGTATAAAAAGTTTAATTAGCAAAGTTATGAAACACATTGAGGGCAAAGATGGTGGGAAAAAAGCAGAGTTGTAATTTATTCTCCAGTAATTCTGTGTTTCTTGTTTCTGTTAGGGTGTGTTTCACCTTTGACCTTTCACCTAATGACTTCTGCAGATTTTCACCAGCTGCTTCACGCCCGTAGAAATGCTTTTATAAGTGACAAAGTAATCAGCAATTAAGTGATTATTTTAAGAGGACCAATAGTTTATTATGCACCAGTAAATCATAATAAAAACACTCTGAATCATTCGACTTTTATTACGCCCATTAGTTTATACTCTCACCTTTTCTGTCTTAATTGACCAATTATAATCCTCTGTGACATGATTTTAGATCATTTAGTGATCATTTCTGCTTTTGACGTCTATTATATAAATTTATTTCCGATAATGTGATGACAAAGGCATAAATACCAATTATAAAATTACAAATATGGATTCAATATTTCACCGTTTTCACCACAATGTCGACTTAATTTCCTTTGAACACAGTTTATGACAGTGATTGATTATTGGGATCTTTCTGCTGATTCTCTGGCTAATTTTAAATGATTTTTAATTAATTTTTTCTTATGTCATTCAACTAGAAAGGTTTAAGACAATACAAAGGGCACCAGGCTGGTATTTACCCCCCAAACATCTGTTGGCATTACTTATTTTATTGCAAAACAAACATTTTTTTTGTATTCAAAATAATGTCACATCTTACTTCAGTCTGTTAACATTAATTTCCAGCTAAGCCATGTAAAATTAAAATGAAATTGAATATTTTGATGTTTAACATCCTGTGCAGAAAGCTTCATAAATGTGGTTGATTACAAACGTATGAAAAATAAAATCCTGAATCAATGAGTCACAAAAACCATTTTCCTGCAAGAAGTCGCCGCTATCTGGCAGCTGTTACTTCCAAAGAACCGCTGCTCAAGATCCTAACGCTGATGGTTGGTGGCAGCCCATAGCTGATCAGTTCTTCCTTAATCTGGAACAGAAAACACAAAGTTCAACTGAGATACAATCAGCGCATTATTATAAACATTATTGATTTATTTTTGTGCACAGAACAAATTTAAAATGTGCTTAAAGCTTAGTAGATCACAGTTAATGTCATGATGTGTGCTTGATGGTGGACTGAAATGCAGAATGGCAGAGAAGTCGAGTAAAAAAGAAAGGTTTAATAAAACAAATTATGGAGAACCTTTTTCAAAAAACTAAAACAAAATCACAGGAAGTCATAGCAGAACAAAAAACATAAATCCAGTGGAAAAGCCAGCAGGGAACCAGGGACGAATGCAGACAGTAACAGGGTTTAACACGAGGAACCAGCAAGGAGTGACTGAAAATGAAGTGCTTAAGTGCTGGGGGGTTGAATTATGAACAAAAGACCAGATGAGCTGATGAGTTGCAGGTGAGGGAGAAAGAGGAAGAGACACATTGGGGACAATCAGGTATTGGAAATGAAACTCACAAAAATATCTGGACATAAGAAACAATTAAACTAGAGTAACAAGGAATAGACAAAAGTAGAAACACTAAGAAGGACTGAGCTAAAGAAAAACAGAAACAAGACTGATCTAATCAAAGATAGCATAGAAAAAAATCAAACGTCAAAAACAGTAGATAATAGTTAATGCTTAGAACTTCTTAGAGTCACATTATTGCTGCCTAAATCTGTCCGAAACAGCACAGAAAATAAAATCACAGAAGGTAAGACCATAAAAACCAGCTGAAGTTGTGACTGTTACCAGCTGTGCGAGGGTCTCCTTATCATTTATCAGAGACGCGGCGGCCGAGATCTTTGCGTTCAGGGCGATGACATAATCTAGAAGATCAGGACACAAATTTAGTTCAGATTAAAACCTATTTCAGATGAAACGCCCCAGCTACAGCTTCCTCTGTAAAAGGGAAACTCTCACACTCACATGGATCAGGTGTTGTTTGGTTTGCAGAGGTGCTGATGGATGTCGTGCTGGTCGTTGGCGGCCGGGCTGTTGCTATGCTCACTGAGGGTGTTGGTGTACTGGAAGGGGGTCCGGTTGGAGCTGCGGCTGCAGCCGAGTCTGACAAAACATGAGATCAGCAAAACAAAATCAGAGGAGTTGAGGAAAAAATGTCAGCAAATTAAAAACGGGATAAAGACTGAAGGTTTCCACTCACCGTTTCCAACCGTCACAACGACGCAGCGAAGGTCAGAGGTGAACACAGAGCTGGAGAAGCTGTGGGGGAAAGTCAGAGACACTTTAGCAACATTTTAAATACAGTTTTTCAAGCTTTTGAAAGAGATTCTATAATAAATCCTTCAAAAGTTGATATTTTTAACGGTCGGGAGGAGATTTGGAGTTTTAATTTGGTGTCTGCTGGAGCAAAGCCAGGACTAAAAGTCATGCTTATATTAATTAGGTACTTATTACCTAATTAAATAAAAGGTAAATCAATTAATAGACAATTAAAATGATTCAAGTGATATTAATTCTTTAATTTATCAATGACATCATCTTGTTCTGTAACAATTTAAAGGTAATTAATTGGAGTAATTAGAGTTAATTACAGTGTTCAATGTCAAAGATTATTGAAACACAGGATGACTTACTAGCATCCAGCAGATTTTTAATTGTGTGTGTTGTAGTGACCGCTGATGTTTGCATAAAAAATTCATAGGTATAATAACAGAAACTGATGATGATGATGATGAAAGCTTTGATAAAATATGCTTTGAGACCAACTGCACTTCTGATTTTACTTCTTATTAGTAAATGTAAATGTTTTAATTGTTCACTTTTGTGTTTTTGTGATCTAAAGAGCTATAGAAATAACATTTTTAGCTTTTTTATTTGGTTTCAAAGCTTTGCAGTAACTTTCTTCATGTTGGACGGCCGAACGTTGGAGATGAGTCCAACCTGAAATCATCTGAGATGATGATAAACTGCTTCTCCTCTCATCTTGTGAATATTTTGCCATTCAAAAAATTAGTGAAAATCCCAAACTGTGGATAATTTGAAGGGACATTTTACTGAGATTGTCCCTTATTGACTCTCTGCCACAAAGAGTTTCTTTTCTTTTTAAGATCTTTTTTTAGCTCTGGTGAGTTGACAGCTGTCAGACAGAAAATGGTCAGAAATGCAGCAAAGGTTTCAAGGTCTGGAATTGAATCGAGGTTGGATTTTGCAGACTTTCAAGTTACAGTACAACATTAATGAGAGTGGATACTAACTTTGCCCGGACGACGAAACAGATGGGATGGCTCAGTCCGCCTTCGAAGTCAGACGGCGTCCATCTCAGGGTGAAGGCTCCTGGCCCTGATTTGCTCCTGATCACGCTGTGTGGGCCGCTGAACAGAAGCTCAGTGATCCTTCAGACACAAAAATCAGAAGTCTTAGGTGATATTTACAGAATTTTCACACAACTTTACATTTTAAATGGGCTCCTTGGTCCATCCATCATCTAGACACAGTTATGCTTGTAGGGTTGCAGACTGGAGACAGTGATTTTTTTTTTCCAGCGGCCATTGGGTGAGAGGCAGGGCACATTCTGGACATCACAGACACCTACAGACAATTTAAGTCGGGGGCATCCAAACCTTTTGCCAAGTGGGCAAGAAGTAATCATGGGCCAGACAAACCTAAAATCAAGCAAATAAAGTAACTTAACATTTATTGTTAGTCCAAAACTTGAAAGGAATTTTTGCAACGGTTTATTTGGGCTGATGTAGATATAAAAACAAGGATTATATTTCTGCCAAAAACTTTTGTGATTAATCTCTGAAATTTTCCAGAAAACTATGAAATTTTCCGGAAGAAAATTCGAAGGAAAATTAAGTTTTTGTGGAGCTTTACTACAATAATTTGACATGTTTGCTGTATTAGAAGAAACACATCTAGTTTTCATTTTCTCTTGGGCTCGACTGAGTAAATTTATTTTCAGTAATAAAAACAGGATGTGGGTCACTTTCTTTCAAAACATTTGCTATTTTTAGCCAAATTCAAGAAGGAATAAAAGCTGATGTGGTTGGTTTTGCTGCACCCACTGGAACTTTATATGTTTGCAGTGAAACCAAACCTGCTGAATGACTAATAATGAAAACAGTCTAGTTCAATCCTGCGCCTTGTTTCCATTCTAAGCTCAGTCCCGTCTCAACAAACCCGTCTAACTGAAACCAGTTCTTTCTACCGGTTTGTTTGTGTTTAGCTCAGCCTCTTTGAAACACGTTTTGCTTTCTCTTACTCAGACTGCGTTGCCTCGGCCCTGACACTGATTTCCAGGGTCTGATTGACGGAGGTGCTGAGTTTTGCCCCGTTGTCTGGAGTCGGAGGCAGGAATCTGGGCAGATAGACGCCTCCAGTGCAGGACGGTGCAACAGGATCAACTGCAACAAAAGCAGCAAGTTTGTAAAGAGCATCATTAGAATCACTTCAGGTGTTGGTGTGTCAGTGTGGGTCAGTCTTTCTCAAACTGTGGCCCCCAAAACCCTGCTGGGCCGCAGGTGCCCCCTAATGGTCCTCGACATACTGCATGTACAGTAAATGACCGTTTAGTTGAGCTGAAAGTGTGACGCTGACAGTTAGCCAAAGAATTGTGCTTAAAAATAACAAAGGATACTTAGCGTAAGTCACTCAAAAGAACAGCTAAAGATACCAGGATGAGTTATCTGATCAGAGGAATTCATGTCTGCAGGAATATTTTTCAGTTTCTCAGGGCGAACGTCTGTTTTAAGGACACTATTATAACACGTAGCATGCCACCAACGCCGCTGCACCCCACGCTGACTAGCTGCATCTAAGCACCGGAAATAAAATGATTATTTACGTCTTTCTTTGACTGACAGAAACTTTTTGTTTCTGCCAAAGCAGTTCAAGTCCATCTTCCTTTTACTATGATTCTAAATTACAAATATGCTTGTAGTAGAGAACTTATTTTTTTATTACCATGTTTTCCATTATAGAAAAACTTATAATCTACACTTTCAAAATCTGCAAAGAACTTAAAAAGTAGACTTATTCATATGGCTTACAAAACCACCCATCTCATTACGGTGAACTAAGAAGACTTGTGTAACTTTATGTAAAAGAGTTTAACATCGTGCCTTTGAAAACAAACTGGACGGGTATCTTGTTGAGGACGTCTCCTGCGTTCCTCTGTGACGTTCCACCGTTTGCTTGAGTCAAGGTGATGGTCTGAACAGCAACGTCCTCCATCATGAGCTGCACGGCGTACGACCCTTCATTACTGCTGCTGGTGGGGCTGAAGGTCAGAGCACACGACTGCAAGAAAGCAGAAAGAGACGAAGGGGTCTCAACTAAAATCACTGCAAAGTGTTTACACCAGCTGGAGCCCTCAAGGCCGAACACACCGAGGCGAACTGATTCTGTGAGATGATGCAGCTTTCAGTCATCTCACTGTAACAAACAGTTTTCCTGTAACAAATCATTTTACTTCTCTCAATCTGAAAAGGATGCTGGGAAGTTTGATGAGCTCCCAACTCCACAGAGTGGAGTGGGAAAAGATCAGCCGTTTGGGTTTCACAGTGTTCAGCTGAGTCAAGTTTACAGCTCTGGAAAAACTCAGAGCCCATTGAAAACCTCATGCAGAGTTTGGTTGGTTGATCAGTTTTACCTGAGTGAGTCAGACTTGTTTGAACCCTTAATTAGTGATCTGTTCTTTAACTCCAGACCTGATCCAGGTGTTACTTACGGGTGAGAGGTGGAGGACAGGTGCCGGTGTGCAGACGTCACACTCGGATGCATTTTGTGCGTCTCTGCATCTTATTTCATCTCCATCTGGGTCAAATGCCAACAAGCTGAAGTTTCTCTGACAGTTGGAAGGAACTCTGGAAAAACAACAACGCCAACAAATGTTTTACACCCACATTTTGATCCTATCAGTTCAGAAAAACCTTCAGTTTGAGCTCAGTTTAAAAGAAAAATGCTGTGTCCTACTTCAAGTATCTTGACTGATCAGTGTTTCTGCATTTCTTTCCTCCACATTGTTTTGTTTCGGCCTCCTAAAAAGCATTTTATCCTTTAAGGAAACACTCAGCCATGGGACTTACCCTAACAGAACCCATTCTCTCCTCCATTTACGTCATAAAACATTTCCTTGTGCGTACTTTAAAAAAAAAGACTTTAGCAAAGCAGGAATGTTGTTTTGTCCCTAAGGAAATATGTGAAAGGAAATACTAAAGTACCAAAATACGCAGTAAAGTGCCTTAGTACTAACTTTTCATGTTGTTTTTTGTATGTGAATATTTCTGTTGAGATTAAACTGATTTAGACGTAATCAGAGGTTTAATGATGATATTTGACGCGAATATCAAGAAGGGAAAAGAGGAACCACCTCAGAACAGGAAGGACTGTGGTCAGTGGAGACGTGTTGGGTCTGCCGGTGTCGGAGCGGATTCCTTTCTCGTCCTGCATTTGGACTCTGAACGAGACAACCCCGTTCCTGTTGTCTGTCCAGTTTCCACCGGAAAACCTGCAGAGGGACAAATTAGAAAGTTTTCAGATGTAACTGGGTGTCAGAGAACCTAAAACATTTACTTAAGTAGCAGAAGCACTCAGACATTAAAGGGATCCATCCAATAAATGACTGAAGCTAGAGTAAAAAAGTATTTGGTGAAAAGTCTCAAGTACTGAATAGCTGATCAAATTATCAGTAATTTAATATTTAAAAATTACATCATCAGATGAACCAAAATATAAAGTGAAATGGAAAGTTTGCTATTTTCAGGACGAAAATGGCAATAATTCATGTAAGTAACAAAAAATAAAATATTTTTTCCAAATCAGTTTCTTTTAATGAAAAACTTATGAAATTTTGATCAAAACTGCAGGTGAGTGTCTGAGTCTGGTGAATTTCTTGTTAATACATGTTTATTTTTCATTCAGTGGAGAGAAAATCCAGAAATTCACTCATGTAACAGTAGATACTTCGTAATAAAATTACTCAAATAAAGGAAAAAGTACAAAATTCTCCTAAAAGTACTTTTTTCAAAACAGTTTCTCAAGTAAATGTAATTGAGCAGAAAACTGATTAAATTCCTTATGTTGATGAGTTCAGAGTTTATTTCTGAGTTACTCTGAGCTGAACTCACCCAGACTGACTCAGCTGGCTCCCATTGTTCACGCTGCTGACCAGCCTTTCCTTCTGACACCATTCGCCGCTGATTTCCTGGATTTTGTTCAAGATTATCTCTGAAAAACTGCAGCTGTTTCCACAAACCTGAGCATCAACCTCTGCACACGTGCTGAAGCTGTACAGGTAGCGAGCCACGGTCTGTGGATTGAAAGTAGGACAGATTAATAAAATACAAAAGGGCAGAAAAAGCTGTAAAATGTTTGAACTCACCGGGAATCCACCCGCCTGGAGGTCTTTAGTGGAGGAGCTGTAGACGAAGCCATAATAATCAGCCTGAGAGCCGCTGATCAGCAGCAGCAGCAGCACGGAGGACAACATGTTGACTGAATCGATGCCTCTATGCAGCTCAGACTGGATGTTGTTAGAAACAAAAGGCTTCATGCTTGAAGAGACTCCCACTCCTCCCCTCTTTGTCTGCTAAGCATCACAGTTACTGCAGGATTAAGTCACACAAAGGAAATGGACTTTCCTGGGATGAGGAAACGTCGCCGTCTGCTGCGTCTTTGGGGCGGAAGGTGTTGAAATACAGTAAAAACTAATTACACAGAGTTTAACTCAACATGGGGACGTAATTTAAACTGATATTTGTGAAAATGTACGCACAAGATTTCTGTTTTATGTTTATGATTTATTATTTATTGTGGGTGTTTTTCACAGTTCACTGTAGTGATAGACTTTAAAATATTGTTAGTTTATAAACCCCCTGGTTCTGGTTCTGGTCTGGTTCTGGTTCTGGTTCTGGTTCTGGTTCTGGTCCTGGTCCTGGTCCTGGTCTGGTTCTGGTCCTGGTTCTGGTTCTGGTCTGGTTCTTGTTCTGGTTCTGGTCTGGTTCTTGTTCTGGTCCTGGTCCTGGTCTGGTTCTGGTTCTAGTTCTGGTTCTGGTCTGGTTCTAGTTCTGGTTCTGGTCTGGTTCTTGTTCTGGTTCTGGTCCTGGTTCTGGTTCTGGTCTGCGTCCCCAGAACCAGATCCAAACACGGAGAACCATAAATCTGGAGCAAACTTCCAGAAAACTGCCAAACAGCTGAAACACTGAGTTCCATTAAAGCTGTTTAGAGTCGATTTTGAATATTAATAAATTAAACATTGACCAACATTTTCATGTGCAATAATGAGGATAAAATTGTTCACTGTGTCATTTATGACTATATTTTTGTATGTTTATGACTTTGAACTGCCCTGTTTCTGAAACGTGCTACACAAATAAAACCTGTTGATTAATTATTTGTTTCTTGGTGAATTTGAGTTTCTTCTGCTTCGCCTTTTCTTTCTGCTGACGTCGTCTGTCTTAACTGCTACGTTTCTCAGAACAGGTTTCTGTTTGTCTCTGTTGTTGTCGGCATAATGAGTCACACAGTCTGACCTCTTCCTGGGCCACATTCATCACTTCACCTCCTTTCACACCTGCATGAATGGACCAGCAGAGCCTGATCAGCTCAGACAGACACAGCCTTAGTTTGGCCTCTTGGTTTTATTGCATAAACTTTATGTGGGGAAGATTTCCTATTTTTTTTCCTTAACAGGAATTACTTCAAAAGATAAAACATTATCTGAACAGGGACAGATTTTACATCTTTTTTTTTTCTTTTTTCCCCCCACAGATACAAGAAAATCCATTTTATTACTCAGAAGAAGCCATAATTTGATACAGATGTTGAAGGATTACTCTGAAACTCATCATGTTTGATCATAAACTTTATTGTCTAAACATAAGGAAAACAAAAAGCAGCTGCTGCATAAAAACACAGCAATGCAAGAGGGAATATATCGAATAATTATGCAAAGCTTCTAATTCTTTACCTTCATGCTGACAGCGAAACTTCTGAGTTGAACAAAACTCAACATTTCATATTTTACTTTCATTTGGAGGATTCATAACCACACATTTTCACCTTCAGCTTTTCATGTTTCTTTTTTTACCGTGACAGACTGAATCTGCATGAAATACTTTTAACAAAACTTTATTCTGCACAAAAACAGAAAGTTAAAGCCGTCAGCAAAAATATGTAAGGAATACAGAAAAGCTTGGTTTTAGCATCAAGAAGTGAGTCTGGGATCCTAAATGACATGAAAGGTTTTTGGTTATGTTTCTAAGTTCTTCTGGAAACTGGATTTTATCCAAAACCTGTCTTCTTAAAGGCCAAAGGACAGCGATATTATATATTTTTAAATGGGTAAACAACTGGAAATATTAGGGTATTCTGGCTTTACAGTATTTGTTCCCATTCAGCAAAAGGATAGTAACTTGTCATTGTGGTTCATTAAAGTAAGTATAACCACATGAATCTGATGAAAAGTGAAGAAAACTCTGTTTCTAACCACACTGAGGCTCAGATTCAGGCTGTTGCCTTCACCACTCCGTCACTCAGCAGCTTTAACGTCAGATCTGGAGGCAGCCCCTGTCTTTCCAGCTCATCTTTGATCTGCACAGCAAAACACAGTTCCCTAAGTTACAGTAACATTTTGTCTAGGAAGAATAGCAATGCACAAGAGAAAAACAAAGCAGACCAGGATAAAACTGATTTAAAGTTACTGACCAGGTTGGTGATGGTGGCAGAGTCAGTCTCCAGTGACAGTGAGGTGGAAATCTTTACATTCAGAGCCAAAACATAATCTAGAAGAAGCACAGAGTCAGCATTACTACTTAAAACAGGATCATTAATCAATAAGGATCATTGATCAATAAGGATCATTGATCAATAAGGGTAACTGATCATGTATTCTGGGATGAGTTTGAGGTTTTTTGTCATCTTTTCCCCCATTTACATTTTTAATATTCCTTTTAAACCAAATGCAAAAACAAGTGTCCCTTTGTCCATTAGTTCCCATTTAAACTCCATTTTGTTGAAATGCACTTTAGTTTCTGTTTTCCTGGTGTTTAAACTCATTAAATATGTTTTATAAATGTCATTATTCATTATTTCCCTAAAGTTAATAGTGATAGTAATGATCATTTTTCACTACAGTCACAGAAACTAAAAAAAAAGCTTACTGTCAAATAATGTATTATTATTATTATTATTATTATTATTATTATTATTATTATTATTATTATTATTATTATTATTATTATTATTATTATTATTACCATAGCAACCAGTAACTGGCAGCTCCTCCCCCTTTTCTCCTCCTTTTTGTAAAGTAAACAGAAACTCAAAGTGCTGTGTAATGATGGAGAGAAGATGCTGCTCAGGATGCAGCATCGCAGTGGATGATGAATATTATACTGTCAAACAAAATGTGGATGGAAACTTTCAAAAGGCTTTTTTTAAGTTCCAGGGACAAAGACAGAGCACTTCATGAAGAAGAAGAAGAATGTAACCATAAATGTTGCTCCTAAAGAAAAGACATGTTGGTACATAACTTTTCTACAGCAATATATAAATATATCTGTGAACATCCAAGAGATGCAGAGAAACTACAAATCTACCAGGTTTGGTGACGATCTGACTTCAGCTCCAGTCACACTTACATGGCCCTGCTGCAGATGTTGCAGCGGGTTGGTTGGTAGTTGGAGGAAGTGTAGTTGTAGTTGGAAAAGGTGTAGTTGTAGTTTGTGGAGGTGTAGTTGTAGTTGGAAAAGGTGTAGGTGTAGTTTGTGGAGTTGTGAATGGAGGTAGGATTGTCATGAATGTAAACGTCGTTGGTAGGGGTGTCGCTGCAGTCGGAGGGGAAACGGTTGTTGGACCTGTGGATTAGGCAGCAGATCAACATCATCACTTCAGGAAAATGTTGAATTTAAGCTGAAAAGAAAAGCTGAGGTTTCCACTCACTGCTCCCAGCCGTCACAAAGACGCATCGAAAGTCAGACTGGTACACAGAGCCGGAGGAGCTGAGGAGGAAATTAGAGAAACAGCTTAGATATTAAACTATTACCCATCGATTCAGTTTAACAACATATTAAAAAGGTTGATTATACAAACAGTAAAAAAGCAGATATACAACAAACATTTGTCCCAGAGATGCTAGTTTTTAGAAAAGATGATGAATCTATAGTTTCCTCACTCCTTTAAAATTCTGATATTCGTCCATAAAGCACTAAATGATTTTGGACTTTCTCAATAATTAACCATGCAGAGCCGTTTGGTGTTAGGAGATCTGAATAGTAATAAGACCCAAAGTAAACAAGACGAAGCTGCTTTTAGTTTTTATGCTCCTGAAAACTTGAGGTGTGCAGAAATTGTTGGTTCCTTAATGAGAACGGAAAACATTTTTGCTAATTGTGCTATGTAAACATACTTGTCCTTAATTTTGGTTTCACTCCTATTTGCTGACAAATATGAAACATATTTTCATTCTTAAATGAACAAACATTTACTGTGAACCAACCCCAGTTCAATAAGCTGAACAATATTAAGAGTTTAAGCTTTTTTTCTATGCATTAATAAGAAAAGGCACTAACTTTGCTTGGACAACGAAGCAGAGAGTTTGGTTCAGTCCTCCATCACCGGCCGATGGCGTCCATGTCAGGCTGAAGTTTCCTGATCCTGATGAGCTCTTGGTTACACCTGTTGGTCCACTGAACAGGAGCTCAGTGGTCCTTCAATGAACAGGAGATAAACAGTTTATTACATTTATATTTCCAATTTTTTCCAAACTGCAAACACATCAGTGCCATTTTTAAACTTGATTGGAGTTATTTAATACATGAGGTTAGCCTAAACTCCAGACTCACTCAGCCTGCGTTGCTTCTGCTCTGACGCTGATTTCCACAGCCTGGTTGACGTTGGTGTGGATCTGATCTCCATGTTCAGGAGTTGGAGGCAGAAACCTGGGCAGATATTCACCTGCTGTGCAGGACGGAGCTGCAGGATCCACTGGAAGAAAATAACAAGGAACTAATTAATTCAAGCTGAAAGGAGCTGATCAGTTTGGTCAAACAACCTGAAGCAGTTAGTTGATAGATGAATATTCATTATGACCAGATATTTATCCACCTGGTTGTATTTATCTCTCCTACATTCCTTCTTGTATATTTTGTGAAATCTGTAGTTACTGAGGCTTCAAATCTAAAATACGCAGAACAGAAGCAGATTTTTCCAATCCGGCTCGGCTCTTTTTGGGTTCAGAGTTTATTTTACCTTTGAAAACAAACTGAACAGGGATCTTGCTGATGGCGTCATTCTGAGGTTTCACCTCCTGTGAATTGTTGCCGTTAGTCAGAATGATGTTCTGTCCGGTAAAATCCTCCAGAACCATCTGAACCGCATACGGACCTTCATCACTGCTGTTAGTGGGACTGAATGACAGAGAACAAGACTGGAAGAGAAAGGAGAAGAAAAAAGGTCCAAATTAAAACTGAATCAGATGATTATGGATTAAGTCAAATCTACTTATTGTCATTTTTCTGTAAAGTTTGTTTCTCTGTCTTAACTGATAAGAATACACACATAATAAAATAGATTAAACAGATACACCTGCAAAATACATCTTGTCTTTTTATATTAAGTGCCTCATTTTAGCAACAGTCCAGCCTTTTAACAGGCTGATGGAGTCCAGTGGCTCTAAAACAGACCAGAGTAGATAAACTTTATTTATGCTTTTCAGGCAACAAAGAACAATTGCAGATAAAGTGCAAAAATAAATGTAAGAATTACAACAGTAACCTAAACGCAGCGCTGGGTCGCCACTCTGTTTCACTTGTTAACGCTCTCTTGACATTCACAGACCTGACCACTAGGCAGCGCAATTTTACAAATCTTCCAAATAACTTTCCGATTTATTAGTACGAATAAATCAAGTCTTTAATGTTAGACTGAAAATGGGCTTTCCACACCGGAGTTAGCATTTCTTTTTCTTCAGTTCAAAGAGCAATGCTCCCTGAAGACACACAAGAAAATTTAAATTTATGGCCTGATGGGAAACTTTGAGTCCTCGCCCCTCTAGCATCCACAAAAACCCAGGCTTTTGATTTTAACTGACCGAGTGTAAAGGTAGCTCAAAATCCCTAAAATGTATGAAAATGGTAGACTTCATGTCATAAACTGTAAGGTTGTCCTCGGTAGCTCAGCTTTTATAATCTTCTCAAGAGATTTCTTGATGAGTGACGTCAGAACAACTGAAGGGAAATCAGGTTCTGTCTTTGGGAATTTGGTCACAGGTACAATAACTGAATATTTCCTCGGCACTTAGTGGAGCTGGAGCGACTTTTTAAAGATAAAATAAAAAAATGCCAGCCTGTTGTTCTTTAAGAGCCAATTTTATCTGGTGACACTTCCTGTCTTTAGCTCGGCAAAGGTTCAGGACGCCTCAAAGTCTTTAAAAACAGAAATAAAAAATCTATGATCTTAACTTCAAATTGAGAATCACTTTTCACTAAGGTTTAGAGCATCATAAATAATTGTGTGTGGTCACATTTAATGAAAAAGTAGTAAAATCCAGACTATTTAGTGCTACTGACTGCAAATTTGATAATATTTATACTCACTGGTGAGACGCTGAGGACAGACGGAGGAGTGCAGGTGATGCACTCTGGATCAGCTGCATATCTGCATCTGACGTCGTCTCCATCCGGGTCAGAGACCAACAGGTTGATGTTCCTCTGACAGTTTGAAGGAACTCTGAGAGAAAAGAAACATTTCAACCACTCCTCTGTCAGTCCCTCCAGGTGCTTCTGTCATAATTTAAACCCGTCTGACTGGTTCTGCAAGGTTTCTTCAGCACAAAAATTTTATTTCAAAGAACCTCCAGAATACTTTCAGTTCAGTTTCCTAAAGATGAACTCGCTCCACAGAAACCGCTTACTGACTTTTAGTTTTATACTGATACATCTGAGAGGTTAACAATGTTCACTTTGAAGAACAACATTATCCATTATTATCAACATATGCAACAGATTTTGTAAAATAGGAATAACTGTCCAGTTTTTATTATGTTGATTATCTTTTGCTTCTGATTTGCAGAGTTTCATCTGCAAATGTTGATTAAGAATAAAAAACAAACAGTTTCCTAATTATTTTGCTGTCAGTAAAAAGCTGTTTGTAGATAAAATATTTAAAATGATGAACAGAATTACCTCAGCAGAGGGATGATGGTGGTTTGGGGTGAAGAGTTTGGCTTGTTGATGTCAGAGCGGTTTCTCATTTCAATGAGCATCGTAGCTGCCGATAGTTCAATCCCATTTCTGTTTTCTGTCCAGTTTGTAGCATCAAACCTTCAGCAGATGATAATGAGAAAATAATGCAGCAAGACCAAATCTCCAAAGACCAACAAAACTAGATCATCAGCTGATTATGTCAGGTTTTCCAAATCCAGTCCAAGCTGCCCTGTTTCCAGTCCTCAGTTTTAATCTGAACATGGCAAAATTATATTTCCATTAATGTTGAAGTGGACTTACGGAGTATCCAACGTCGACAGGAATGTAACTGCAACAGACTCAGTGTAGGCTGTCTGACACCATTCACCTCCTCTTTCATCAAGTGGATAAACTGAGAGCATGCTGCAGTTTCCATTACAAAGCCAAAGGTCGAACTCTTCACAAGAGCTGAAGCTCACCTTGAAGTTAGTGGTTGCCTGTGAAATTTCAGTGAGGAGGTGTTGAGTACACTCTCTAGAAAAACCAAGTGTGATATTTTATAAAGAAGCTCAACTTACTGGGTATCCGGCTGGCTGGAAGTCTCCAACAGAGTAGCTGAAGACGACACCAAAATAAGCAGCTTCAGCTCCGCTGAGGAGCAGCAGCAGCAACACAGACGGCAGCATGGTGGCAGAGTGAAGGTTTCAGAGAGAGACTGAAAGTTATCAGCGTCAAATGAAGTTATTCTTCCACAGAGAGCCTCTGGTCCACACCCACTGCTCCATACATGAATGGTTTACTGGTATGCATTGGTATAGTTGGCCTGAAGGCTAAAAGGTAATGATGAAAATATCTGATGGCTGGACGTTTACATTCAGAAGTGCAAAATCTGAATGACAATTTGTAGTACATGCAAAAGTCACAAAACCTTTGCTCAGCCTCCTGAGACCTGAGTTTTTCATTCAGTGCATTTCTGTCCCCGTATGAGGATGCAGGGACTTATGAGGCTAGAAATACAAATCTAACATCAGGGAGAAGATTTTCACGATGAACAGATTTAAAACTCAAACAGCTTCTTTTATAAAAATATCATTTTTATCCTGTCATCATTTTCCATCATGACAGGATGTATCTGGCAAATAAAAATCAAGAACCATCCCCAGAGTAAAAACTAAGAGCCTTTTACTGTAAGGAAAGCAGAAAAACTTTATTTTACCATCATGAAAGGAGTCTGGGATTCAGAGACATAAACAATGTGAAAGATCATTCATGTCTGTTTTAAAAGACTTGATGTTATTTGTCCAAGAAACAGTTGTACCATATCATTTCATTCTGTTTATTATTCTGATTTATTCTGTTTGCTTTTATTGACAAACAATTAGAAATTATATGCTTAAGAACATTTTGACTTTACAGTATTTGTTCACATTCAAGACAACAATATTAACTTTTCATTTGCATTAATTAAAATAAGTTTTACTCCATGATAGATGAAGAAAGAAAGATGAGTGGCTATAGAAAACACATTTCCCTGGGAGGATCAGACTTGTTCTCATTTTTAGCCACTAGGGGGCAGGAGTTGTAGCTCTCACTGCGCCACTGCTCAGCAGCTTTACTATTATGTCAGAAGGCAGTCCTTGTCTTCTCAGCTCCTCTTTGATCTGGAGAGGAAAAAACATGAAATCAGTTATATATTATATAATCAATAAGTCACACAGAACAAAACTAAACCACAGTTTTATGCTAAAAATCAGGGTTGAGCTTTGGATCATTTTTACAAATCCTTTAAAGATCCATCCATTTTTTTCCTCTTATCTGGTGTTGCAGCCTCAGTAGGGAGGCCCAAAATGTGTCTACTCAGCATTGTCTAGGATATCTGTGTGTGTGTGTGTGTGTGTGTGTGTGCGTGTGTGTGCGTGTGTGCGTGTGTAATGACAATTGTGATAATGCTTTTCTCCTTGCATGCAAGTACTTTGCCACATTGTCAGCCATCTTTGTTTAAGGGTTTCCCACCATCTCATTCTTTCAGACTCCACTGAAAGCTTGTGATCATAGATGATGCAGATCAACTAATAAATCAAGAGCTGTTTTTTTTAACCACGATAAACGGGTAGAGTTTCCCTCAAATCAGAAACAAAACTCTCACTAAACCTGCTAGACTGGAACGAACCACATTGTTGTCTTTAACACTGATGTCAACAAGGTTACTGACCAGGTTCATGATGGTTGCAGAGTCAGACTCCAGTGATAGTGAGGTGGAGAGCTTTGCATTCAGAGCCAAAACATAATCTGGAAGCACAGAGAGTCAATATTACTATTTAAAACAGGATAATGAACCAATAAGGTCACATATTCTGGTTTGAATTTTAGGTTTTCACATTTTCCCTCCTTAAGTCTCCTTTAAAACTGATTCACTAGATGAATGTATTTTGTCTATTGTCTCTAAGTTATTTTTTCATAGTTTTTTATATCATAATAGTATTGAATCGTATGTTTTGAATGGAGAGGACTGAAGGTCAGAATGACATTTATAAAACTAGTAAAAAAAAACTATCATAAAGCTAAATAAAATTTACATTTTTTAGGTCCTGGGGAAAAAGGTGGAACAATCTATTTACTAAAATGTAATTATCAATGTTTTGTTTTTTTATACCATTTTTCCTCACAAAATATACCTGTTAGTACATAATATTTTTATGGCAATTTGTTAGCATATTTTTGTAAGTCCAAGGGATAAAAGGAGAAAATAAAAAGACCCCTAAGGCTGATAATGAAAGATCTCTGCTAACAGTTTACATTTATTCATGAACGTCAGTCACACTTACATGGTCCTGGGTCTGATGAAGGTTGTAGGAGGTTCAGTTGTAGTGGTGGGTTGGTTGGTTGTAGTCGTAGACGGAGGGGAAACAGTTGTTGGACCTGTGCGTGGAGCAGCAGATTGGCGGTGACATTGTCAGATCAAGAAAAAGCAGACTGACTTCAAACTGAAGACCAAAGCAGAGATTTCTACTCACTTTCTCCAGCCGTCACAAAGACGCATCGAAGGTCAGACTGGTACACAGAGCCAGAGGAGCTGAGGAGGTAAATAAAGTAACAGCTTAGATATAAAACTGTTAATAAAATAAGCAGACAATTCAGTCTAATGAAGACTTTAAACAACACTTTGTACAAACTCAGTATTAAGCTGATATAAAGCAAATATCAATGCCAGAAGTGCAGGATTTATGAAAATGAGATTATGATTCTGCTGTGATGAACCCAACAATCACTACCGCCCTGTTTTAAACATCTTTGTTTTATTATGACTTCAAATAAGAATTAATTATTCAAATTAGATTAAAAATGTTCTATGTAAGGAAACCCAGCAGATTACATCAAGTCATTGAGTTGCAACATTCACTCCTGCAGGATGAGCACGTAGCTCTTGTATCATTGACTCTGCAGCAATCCCTCATGCCGAGCAGGCACATAGCAACAGTAGACGGGAAAAACTCCCCTATCGCAGGAAGAAATCTCCAGCAGAACCAGAACCAGAACCTGGTTTAATACAGGTAGACAATACACAATCTGTATTGAGCCAGATTGCCACGAATGGAGGTTTTGAGAATAAAGGAACAGATTAATTAGGTGACTTAGGATTATTTTTGATGTTCAGGAAAGTAAAATGTTAGAGGGAGATTGATTATTAGACAGCAGGATTATCACAGCTGATGTCCTCCAGGAAAGAATCAGACCAAATAAAATGTCAGGCCAGATGTCAGTAGCTTCTATGGAAAGAAAATAACAGAGAAAAGAAAAAGCTAAACAGTAAATTAATAAGACACTGACTTTGCTTGGACAACAAAGCAGAGAGTTTTGTTCAGTCCTCTGTCACTGTCAATTGGTGTCCATGTCAGGGTGAAGTTTCCTGATCCTGATGAACTCTTGGTTACACCTGGCGGTCCGCTGAACAGGAGCTCAGTGGTCCTTTAAGAAACAGGAGAGACAGTTTCTTAGATTGATGTGTCCAAAGCTTCCTCATCTGCAAAGACAGGTGGTTTTTTTATTGATACTGTAAGATTATTTATTTTTCCTTTCCAAGTGATATGGTTACATACAGTTATTTACTAAAGCCGATCTATAGCTAAGGAATTGTGCTGTGCCTTTAAGATGAGCTGTTTGCTTCTTCTTTGTGGGTTTTTGTTTTAGGAGAGCTCAGGACGGGTTCTGATCTGTTAACTTGAAGGCTGAATAAAAGTCTGGACACGCTATTCCTCTCAGTGTTCTACTGTTTCTCCACCCACGACCTTATGGTAACACAAATGTGCCCCATATCTTAGTGTTGCAATACCATAACGTTTTTACGTTATTCATTCTTAGCCAGAGAAATTTAACACCAGAAAACACTGACACAATCCAGCTGTAATGTGTAATAGTCACTCACTCAGCCTGGGTCGCTTCTGCTCTGACGCTGATTTCCAGAGTCTCGTTAAAATCGATGTAGAACTGATCTCCGTTCTCAGGAGTTGGAGGCAGAAACCTGGGCAGATATTCACCTGCTGTGCAGGACGGAGCTGCAGGATCCACTGGAGCAAAATAACAAAGAAACGAATTAATTCAAGCTGAAAGGAGCTGGTCAGTTTGGTCATTAATTCAAACAACATGAAGCTGTTGGAAGGTTAAATTTAGTTTTGTCATGTTCCTTCATGGACTTTGGGGCCAAAGTTGTGATTGTCTATTTTAATCTTTAGTAGTTCCTGATATTTCAAATGATTTCCAACAGATCCAACATATTCAGCTCAGACACAAACAGCTCAAGTCCAGAGCTGCTCTATGTGGTTCAAATCAAGCTCAACAAACTGCAGCTTTACCTCTGAAAACAAACTGGACAGGGATGCTGCTCATGGCGTCGCTGGGAGTTTTCACCACTTGTGAATCAAAGATATCAGTCAGAGTGATGTTCTGTGTGGGAAAATCCTCCACCACCATCTGAACCGCATACGGACCTTCATCACTGCTGTTAGTGGGACTGAATGACAGAGAACAAGACTGGAAGAGAAAGGAGAAGAAAATGATCCAAGTTAAAATTGAATCAAATAACACAGATTAAGTGAAATATTTTTCATTGTCATTTTATTGAAAATCTACGGAAGACGATTATTTCCCCTGGGAAAAAAAACAATTCTGACTTTAATCTCAAAATTCTGAGAATTGTTTTTTTTTTTTTTGTTTTTTTTCCAGTGGCCCTGATCTTCTTCTGTAACAGATAAGTAAGGAAAAGTAAACTAGATGAAACAAAAACCGTAAAGTACAAATAAAAATATTAAAAATGTTCAGTGTTAGAAAGTGGATGGGTTGCATCTTTCTAATTCACTCATTGTCACGTAAATCCAGCCTAATCAAGTTCCTGCAGCTCCAACATTTATACTCACTGATGAAACGTTGAGGACAGATGGAGGAGTGCAGGTGTTACACTCTGGATCAGCTGCATATCTGCATCTGACGTCGTCTCCATCTGCATCTGTGACCAACAGGTTGATGTTCCTCTGACAGTTCGAAGGAACTCTGAGAGAAAAAGAACAATTCCTAGAACATCACAACCAGACCTCTATCAGTCTTTTCAGGTTTTTGTTTTATAACTTTAACCTGTCTGACTGGTTCTGCAAGATTTATTCCTGATAAGATTTGATTTTAATCATCACTGTGTTTCCATATGGAACAAACTACGGAATAGTTTCAGTTCAGTTTTCTAATGATGAACTTTCTGCAGAACAAACTTACCCAGATTTATTTTACATTGATTTTTCTGATCAGTTGTTTCAAATACAATATTGTTCACTTAGAAGAAACAGCATCAGCTGGATTATCAAATAAAAAAAATCAACTTTTGTAAACAAGCTTGTATTTTTATGATCTTAAACATTTTTTGCTTCTGATTCACAGTTGCATCTGCAAATGCTGATGAAAAATACAATACAAAATAAAAACAATGGTCATCTCAATATGTTGCAGTCAGTCAAAGGCTTTATAAATGGCTAAAATATTGAAACAGAATTACCTGATTAGAGGGATGATGGTGGTCAGGGGTGGTGAACCTCGGTCGTTGATGTCAGAACGGTTTCTATAGTCAAAGTTACCTGTGATTTTTGGCATTACAATCCCATTTCTGTTTTCTGTCCAGCTTGGAACAGAATTCCTACAGTGGATGAAAAGATCTACAATGTTATGGTGAAATAACGCAGCATTTAAGATAAAATCTCTATATACAAACGAAACTATGTATTTTTTTTCATCAGCTGACGATGATAGTTTTTCTTCTTTAGAAAACATGAAAACCTTATCAGCCCAACTGATGAAGCTGTCCTGCAGGATTTTAGGATTTTTATCTGTTCTCGTTTATAATTTGAACATAATGAATCAATAATAATCCAGAAATAATCCAATTATTTCTGATGTGTACTTACAAAGCATTTAATATATGCAGGAATGAATTATAATCCCAAATAAATGCTTTCTGACACCATTCACCTCTGCTTTCATCGATTAGATAAACTGGTGGTAACCCACTACAGTCTCCACCACAAAGCCAAGAGTCAAACTCGTCACATGAGCTAAAACTTGCCGTCAAGTCTATGTTTATCTGTGGAATTAAAGAGAAAAGTTGGTAAATACATCTGATTTTTTCCTGAAAAATATTTATTTTACTACTAAGCTGAACTTACTGCGTATTCACCTGACGGAACGTCTCGAACAGAGCTAACGACGCCGCCATAATAAGCAGCTTCAGCTCCGCTGATGAGCAGCAGCAGCAACACAGACGACAACATGGTGACAGAGTCAAAATCTCCAGAGAAAAACTGAACGTTATTAGAGACAAATCAAGTTATACTTTCTCAGAAAACCTCTGGTCCACACCCTCTGCTGCATCCATGGATGGTTCACTGGTATGCCACAGTATAATGGACCAGGATGTTCTTCACCTGGTATGAGGAAAAACTCTGATGGCTGAAAGGTTACATCCAAAGATAAAAAATGTGAAGTATAATTTACAGTAACTGGAAAAGTCATAAATCTTCTATGACTTTTATTGTAATAAAAACGTAAAATAATGTATTTTATTAAGAAAATAAATTCACTAAATGGAGGGGAAACAATTTTATCTGTGGACAGATTTTAAAATTCAACCAACTTCATTTGAAAAATACGGCAAGCATTTATATCAACACAGCTCAATATTTAGCAGCATCTATTAAATCCAGCTCACTGCCTTTATTTAATATAATGCTTTGATCATTCAAAATATGAATTCATGTCAAAAAACTTGTTGGAAAAAAACATCAGCTTAGAGATTAGACTAATTTAATTACATTTTATGTTGATAAACATTTAATGACTTTAAAACATTCAAATATTTAATAAATTGTGTCAAAAAAAGTTAAATTAAGATAAAAATGTTGGGTTTGTGGTTGCTTCATTCCAGCTACTGGAAGGAAAATATTTAATCTGACCAGATATTTCTCAGCTCAACAAGGGTTGTAAAATAAACAAAACTATCAAGGACTGGATTATTTCCGACTGAAGTGTTAGCTAGCTGTCTAGCTTTGTAAGTGCAACACATTGTGAGGGCAGCATAATGACCGTAGGATCAGTCGACAGAAAATAAAAAAAATAATAAAAAAGATTACATTCAAATACATCAAAACACAAAACAATCAAATAAAGTGGATCATTTTAACGATAATTCGGCTGCTTAACAAGTTGAAACCTTGTAGTGGTTGTTAGACTTATATCTGTCTGAAACCAGCAGCTGAAAAACTATGATTGTGTCAGAAGCTCAGAGCTCTGATCCTGCAGCAGCTTGCAGATCCTGGAAACGTTCAGTAAACCTCAAACAAATATTTTATTACCAATATTTTGATCTTGAGATTGAAAATCATTTTTCTCTCAGGTTTTACATCATCGTAGGAGTTTTAAAAAGTTGTGTAATGCATTTCAGAGAGGGACTCTTTCTAATCCAGATTAATTAATGAAGCCGACTGCAAATCCAGATTCTTTATTATCAACATTTGGTTCTTTCTGATGAGACGTTGAGGACAGACGGTGGATAAAACTCTATATCAGCTGCATATCAGCATTTAATGTCGTCTCCTGGGTCTAAAACCAACAAGTTGATGTTTTTCTGACAGTTTGAATCAACTCTGTGAGAAAGAAACACAGAACACAAGTTATGTGCAGTTTGTTTTTTCATGTGTTTGTTTCATAATTCAAAACTTGTTTTTCCCCACAACTTTTTATTTTTACTAAAAAAAAGAAGAAAGAAAGAAAAACATTCAGTTTCATCTAATTATAAACTCAACTACAGTATACACACATAATCAAATTTATTTTATGCTGAATTACCTGATTAGGTGTTTTAAATAAAATAATGTTCACTTTGAAGCAACAGCATCAGATTAACTTTCCCATCAAAGAATCGACTTTTGTGATCGATCTTGTATTTAAAAAAATAAAAGTAGCTGTCAAGTGATGATGATGATGATGATGATGAACATAAATCATAAAATCCTAAATAATTTCAGTCAAGAAAGTCTGAAAGAGTTTAATTAAACTTCAGGAAACATATTTCTCTGCTGGGCTAAAATATCTTCCAATAATCAGACACTAGGTGGTGCTGTTGAGAGTTTGAGTCACGGCCCTGTTTGAACAGCTGCTCTGTGATAAATCACATACATTATTAAGATACCCGATAGAATAAGTAGAATAAGTTCTTGCTCAGTTATTATGAAAACAAAATACTTTAATCTAAACAATAACTTTTGTTGTGGTTCAGATGAGGAAGCATTGCACTGGGACAAATCATGTTTTGTCACAATCTTTATTGTCTAATGAATTTCAAAGACTCAAGAAAATACCTCTGGTTTCACACATTCTTTATTTCTATGCTGTTAGTTTGCTCTTGTGTTTGTGCTGCTAAAGTTGGTGGTTAATGACCACAGCTGAGGTTTCAGGAAGTCATTAAGACACAACAATGCAGAAAGGAAAACAGTGATCTTTATGGCGATGGTGAGCTTCTGAGTGGAACCAAACTCTTCAGCATCTTTATAATAATGTTGACTAATAAACAAATGTAACAAATGTGAAAACTCACAAAACTTTTGCTTAGACACAGGAAGTCATTATGACAGGGTTTAATCTGTGAACAGGTTCAAACAGCTTCTTTTGTGAAAATGTCAACACAACTCAATACTAAACATCCATTAAAATCAGAAAACCCAGTAGAGTCCTTTATTGGATAATACAATGTTAATATGATTAAAAACACGAATTCATGTTAACAGACTTGTTGGAGAAATTTCAACAGAGAGGCAACTTCAACTAATTACGTTTTTTATTCTTTACAAACATTTGTTTAAAACAGACTCACATTTAATACGTTGTGTCAAAAACATACAAATTAACTGTTTGGTTGCCATGGTTATATAGACATATCTGTCAACCTAAATGATTTCAGCCAAGAAAATCCAGAAAAATGTGAAAATAGCTTCAGAAAACATTTCTCTTCAGGGATAAAATGCAGTGTTATAACCAGACAGTAGGGGGTGCTGTTGTAGCAACTGAGCGACAGACGCTCTGTCATCCAAGATGTCTTCCTCTCTCTGAAGCCGATGGATGGATGAATCATCTGTAAAGTTGTGTAAAGTTTTAGCTTGCAGCCACTCAAATGTTTTGTTCATAACTCTTTGTCAGGATCTAGAGACCTTTAGGAGAGAAACCCTGAAGAAGTTAATTGATTACAGTGTAAACTGTAATCAATTAACTTACTTTCTTTAAGGAGTTGTGATTATACTGAAAATGATGTTTGGTTTCTCTTTGTTGTGATTGTTGATGTTCTGATGCTTTGGTTTGGCTGTAGAGTTAAGTTTATATTTGCCATTTAGTTGCGTTTCCATTACAAATGTGAGCAAAACGTTGTTGATATTCATCTAATGTAAAGAAAAACACCATTTCACAACTGCAGTATTTCCATTAAAGAAGTAACACAATTAAAATGACGTGAATAAATTTGTTTACGCTATAAATCATTGAACAACATGCCTTGCCATCATCCTCCATCATTTCTTTGTCATTTCCACCAGTTATAACATCCGGTTGTTGATCACTTGACTTATGTGATGTGATAAAAAAATTTCCATTGCAGTTTTGTGAAAAATATTCATTTTGATACATTAAAAAAAATTCATCCAAGCACAAAAATATTTTATTGAAAATGTCTGTCATCTCAGTAATCAAATTTATTTTCTAAATTCTAATTTGTGCCATTATATGGTCAATGGAAATGCAAATAATAAAGATTATTGTGGGATTAATCTATGAACTGACATGATTAATTTCTAACCACAATCTCCATCTTTCTCTGGGAGATGCTGAACTGTTCCCTGGACAGTAAGGATGTAGGATTTCCTGCAGAAAGTATATATTAGAAAGCATTTTAATCAAACGCCTGAACTGAATTGAGACCTTTCACCTCTTCAGTTTTCATCTTGTCAGCCTTTATTAGCTTCAGCAACTTATTCTACATCCAAAAAAAGGCTAAAACCTGCAGCCAGTTTCTTCAAGAACCATCTGTAGTGAAAAGAAGAAACAAGTCTTTTATATAACTGCAAGGATAACAGAAAACCTTTATTTCACCATCTTAAAGTGAGTTTGTGATTCAGAGACTTTAATAACATGACAGATCCTTTGGAAACTAACAACCTGCAAAGATTTTATCCTAAAACTTATTTCAAACAGTTGATGCCAAAGGGACAATGATATCATGTAATTTTATTCTGTTTGCAACGATTGATGAGCAATTGGAAATAATATATATGAGAGTATTCTGACTTTATAGCATTTGATCACATTAAAAGAAAAAAAATCATTCACATAAATTAAAATAAGTATAACCACAAGAATCAGATGAGAGATTAAAGAAAAACCCCTATATATCAAATCACTTTTACCAGCAAGAATCAGATTCATTCTCTTTTTAGCCACTAGGGGGCGGCTGTAGTAACTTATACCATGACACTAATATTATGCTATGTGATGACAGGCCTCGTCTTATCAGCTCCACTTTAATCTGGAGAGAAAAAACATGAAATTAGAGCAAAATAATATAAACAGTAAATCACACAGAACAAAACTAAACTGCATTTTCATGCTAAAAATCAGGGTTGAGCTTTGAATCGGGTGCTTGGAGCTAAATGAACTTTTCACTTGCAAATGCTAAAATATGAAAATTTATGTTAAAACAACATTCAGTCTAAATCTTTCCATCTAAAAGAAATAAAGCAGAAGACAAAAACAAAACTTTATTGCAGGAGCAGCTAAATCTGTTGGACTAGAATGAACCACATCATTATCTTTAACATTGACGTCATTGAGGTTACTAACCAGGTTCATGATGGTTGATTTTATGTCTCTATTGACATAAAATCAACGTCAGTGGAGCAGAGATAATTAAATTCAGAGCCAAAACATAATCTGGAAGCAAAGAGAGTCAACATTACTAACAGGATCATTATTTTTTGCTTTAAACAGGTACAGGAAAGAAAGAGGTGGTATTTTTTTATTTTTATTTTTAATATTTTGCCAGAATAAGTTTTGGGAAAAAGTGATGTAGACCATTGTGATAGAAAGGTGACATATATAGAATCAAAGAAAAAGTTTTTAAAATCATTAAACTACAATGTGTATCATGAGACATGAAGGTAGTAATTACATTTGTTAAAGAAAAGACGATGTCAAATTGCTGAATAAAATTTGAATGAGAACCTATAGTCTTTATGCCTCAGGGACACAGACGGATGGAAAGATTAATGTTGCTAATTGTCTTGCATTATTTATAAATCCATTTGTTATGGATGGCAAAACTATATTTTTGGTCAAGTGCAGATTTAAAGGAGGTTACAACCCTTAAACTCTCAATCCTGGAAAATGCAATAGAAAAACGACATGCGGGCGTTCAGCTGCAGGTTAATGGGGTTAATGATAAAAAGGCTTAAGTTGACGTCTACATTTATCAGGGTTGGTGATGTTTTCTAACATAAACTTATGTCACACTTACATCGTCCTGGGTCT